ACAATAGATCTTATTTCCGGTGATCTTGTTTCCTGTCACCGCTATATTAACGAAGTCAAATATGGAGTCGCAGAGGTCTGAAAAGAGATCTCTTAACAGCGATTGTTCGCTTATATAAACTTATGTTAGCAAAATTATTTCTTTTAATAGGACATGTTGTAATGCTTTTGACTACGTTAGCTATCAAAATTGCCTTTTTTGGGGCACAAAATCCCCTCACTTTAGGATTCAAAACCTGACGACTTTTCTATAATTATAAATTCCACCTATAATTTTCCAAGACATCTACTTAGCGTGGAATGCAACCAGAAACTACTTTACTCCACTCAATAAATGCCTGTTAGCAGAAGTAAAGGTAGAAAGAGTTAATTGCAACAATGTTTATTTAGATGCGACGTGTTCATGCTGGCAAATCATCTACAGCGTATAAGCGCCAGACAACCCCCAACAGTAACGTATGTATAACAGTGAAAAAAGTAGTTAGTGAAGGACATGTGTAAGTTAGAGTTGGGAGCGTATGTCTATTAAAAGTGGATTGCCATTGAGTTTTCTCGAATAACCCTACCCAGTCATAGCGCATTCATACTCGTACTTGCATAACTAAGCTTACATACTTCAGTTTCACAGAATGTTTGTTTGTCTTCACTTTTATAATTAAAATGCTTGTTTGATTGGTTTAACGCGTTACTTAAAAATTTATGCTAGAGCTCCACAACAGTTTTCAAATAAAAATATTTGCTCTTATTTAGCAAGTAAGATATTTACTCTGGTGGAGAAAAAACATCCGAAGCATCAATTTTCTTTGAAGTGCTCCGATGCAGCAGCATTCAGTTACTCGAATGGTGGTCTGTCAAATGGCGTGTTGATTTTCATTTTATTTTATACTTTTTTTGGGTGTCATCATGTGCCTGTATCTGCACTCCTATCCTTTATAATGCTTTGTACTGTTTTTAGCAATTAATTGAATTGAATTTAGTTACGTTTTCAAAAATTGAAAAGATTTCCATCAAATACAATTAGTGTAATTGAAATGAAACGGACACATTGGTTAGTGAACATACTTGAAGCGGCAACAATTATGAATGACCAATGCACCGGAGCAGAAAACCGCAATTACCAAGATAAAAGAAAGGAGCAGATGGTGCCCGATAAAAGGTTCGGTCTATTGGCGGACATGGTTGGGTCAATATGTGCGAACACATCACATCAAAGTGATGAGTGGATTCTGGGGAAACGGTTTTCTTTAGAACAAGCTCTATTAATTAAATAAAAAATGGGTTAAAAAGGTGATTAAATAAATTAATATTGAGGAAAGTTTCTTTGAAGTTTGCTCTAAGCTGAAACCGCGGTAAAGGAAAAAATTCCCCTAATTGTATTGGGGAATTCACAAATTAATTAACTTTTTATTGAGAACTTATATTTTCGAAATAAATAAATCTAGGTTATGTAGCGATGGCACTAAAAGTTATATGAAAACAAATATGTTTAGGAATATGAATACGATTGCAACTCTCTTTACCGCTAACTTGTTTAAGGAGATAACGATATCGATAACGACCAATATTAATTATTAAGGATACCGATAATCCAATTCTACTAATATTATTAATGTGAAAGTTTGAGAGTGAGTGTGTATGTATGTTTGTTGCACTTTCACGCTGGCATACAGATTGGTCATAGGCTAGATTAAAATATAGAAACATTTTAGCCACCCTTTCAAAAGTTAATAGGTTAATTGAAATATTACAACTATGTGGCTGTGAAGCGAAAGCGGTTCAAAAGCGATTTACTTCGAGAATATTTTTGAACAAGCATGCTCTGGTACAAAAAATTAAAATGATTTTAATTAGCAAGTCAAATAAAATACCACTTTTTGATAAAGGTATCCGAAGAGAGAAGTTATAACAAATTTTGTTTCGAAAATATTTTAACGGGCTGCCGACTGTTTATAAATTCAAAATCTAATTAATTAACAAGCTAAATTAAATATCTTTATATGGGCACAAACCAAAGAGATTTAAGAAAGCTCTATTTCGAAAACGTTCGAAATAGCGTTGCCACCTGTTTGGAAACTCTAATACAATTTAACTAGCCAACCAAATGAAGTATTGTGAAACGGGGGTCAGACGAGATTTAAGAAAGCTTTATTTCGAAATTATTTTTAAAAGGCTTACTACTTGTTTGAGAATTTAACATTAGTTTTTTGAAAATGTTAAATGAAATATTTTTAAAAAG